TCTCTCTCGCTCTCTCTCTCTCTCTCGCTCTCTCTCTCTCTCTCTCTCTCGCTCTCTCGCTCTCTCGCTCTCTCTCTCGCTCTCTCTCGCTCTCTCGCTCTCTCGCTCTCTCGCTCGCTCTCACGCTCGCTCGCTCGCTCGCTCGCTCTCTCTCACTCACACAAACCTGCAGCTCATTCAGCCTGATGAAGATGTAGAAGTGATTCCCATGGAAGAGTCACATGACATCACTGCTGTCAGCCAATCAGGACGTTTTCCACAGTGAATCCCGTATCCTGTGCCAAAAACAGGATGTGATGTCACAGCTGGAGGGGTTTTCCAGCATAGATAGAGTGAGAGAAAACCAACACTAGACTGTGACTGTATTCCTGCACACACAGCCCTTCATCATCATCAACATCAGTTAAAATCCTCTCTGTCCAAACTTACACTCGACAAGAGAAAAATAACACACTACCAGTCAAAAGTTTGGCTTCTTTTATAAGAAATTAATCAAGGACGCATTAAACTAATCAAAAGTGCCAGTAAAGACATTTATAATGTTAAAAGATTTATTTCAAATAAATATATAATAATAATAATTTCAAATAAATGCTGTTCTTTTGAACTTTCTGTTCATCTGTGAATCCTGAAAAATAAAATGCATCACAGTTTCCACAAAAATATTGTGCAGCACAAATGTTTTCAACATTGATAATAATCAGAAATGTTTCTTGAGCAGCAAATCAGCATATTAGAATGATTTCTGAAGGATCATGTGAGACTGAAGACTGGAGTAATGATGCTGAAAATACAGCTGCGCATCACAGAAATACATTACAGTTTAACAGATATTCACATAGAAAACTTTTTTTTTTAATTAGAATAATATTTCACAATTTTTACTGTATTTTTGATCAAATAAATGCAGCCGTGGTGAGCAGAAGAGACTTTCAAAATAATAAAAAATCACAGCAAACCTCAAACTTTTGAACAGTGTAACTTCATTAGAAGTTTTATCTTAAACTCATTCACAGCGCTGGAACTGACCGTGTGATGCGAGTCATGGGACCAGATGTAAATAATATTTACAGCAACAATAGACGTGAAAGCATCAGCAGGTGTGCATTCAAATCAGAGACGGTCCATTACAGCAGGTGTGTTTGTACCTGAACAACAGCAGCTCGTCTCCACGGCAACCGGTCGTCAAGGCAGACAGGCTCAGTGTTGCTGATGAATGGATCAGTGTTTGAGTTACACTCAGACTCACAGACAGTCCATTCTTCAGCGAACACAGCTCAACATTCACTGTGAGCACAAACACTTATTTACACTCATTTACTGACTGCACAAAGACCAGTGTGTGTGTGTGAGAGTGTGTGTGAGTGAGTGAGTGAGTGAGT